GAGTCTCGCAAACCCACATGTCCTGGGCAATGATGGGTGTTATGAGGCCAGAGGAGAGATGTACTCTGCCACCTGAGGACAAGATCAGCAGGATTTATCCATGCTGAGAGGTGGATGTCCCCTCCCCACTACTGCTGTCAGGACATAGGATGTACAACTTTCCACAGTATCACCATCCCAAACCAAGCTGAGGGAGCCTCTGCACCCTCCAGGACAGAAGGCAAGTCCCTGAGCTCAGGGAGAGTTAGGAAGGACACAGGCCACCTACACTTCGTGCTAATACATATGTGGAAAATATACTAATACTAATACATTGCCCAGAAAATAAATTGTACATCCGTGAATCCACCCTAATAGACCACTCTGAACATCCCAGAAGTCCTGAGGATTTCTCTGTACTTCCCAGCCACATCCTTCCCTCCCCTAGAGGGAGACATAGTGTGACTTTCTTAACATCGCCCCCTGGCCTTTCTTTACAATGTTACCATTTACATAGTAACACATTAGTTCTACCTGTTTGCGAACTTTGGGTAAATGGGTCACAGTGTAAAAATCTTTTGTTTGGCTGGGCTCCTTTTGCTCGACATCAAGGCTGCAGGCTACATCCCGATCATTTCTTTCTCATTGTACAATATTCCATCTTGTGAATATACCACAATTTATTGAATTGTTTATGAATAGGTCTGGTTTTTCTCTTTCTTTGTAATTGTTACTATGTTCTAGGTTTGGGCCCTCCATTCATTAGCTGTGCCTGCTTTATCTTCTCCCAATGTGCTGCTTATGTTTTCACTCTCTGTATGCTGTTTTTTAATCAATGACATTCTTAACTTGAATAGCATTGAATGTTTTCTAATTTTCACTTATAGTGTTCTTGTGTCTTGATGAAGAAAAACTTTTCTACCATGAGTATACAAATGTTTGCTGGGGCTGAGGCTGGGGATAGGGCTCAGAGTTATAGTGCTTACCTAACAATGCATGGACCCTGGGTTCCATTCCCAACACTGCAAAAAAAGTGGGGGTGGAGTTCTGCCATGTTATATTCTTAACGCTCTCTGGCCCTGCCTTTCACATTTATTTTGAATCCACTGAGATTTATATTTGTGTTGTGAGATAGAGATTCAACTCATTTTTTCCACTTATTGAAAATCCATGGGACTGGAGGCATGGCTCAGGCAGTAAAGCATCTGTCTAGCAAGTGCAAAGCCCTGAGTTCAACTCCAGTACCATCAAAAAAAAATTAATGTGTCACCAATGGAGTATTAGTCAGCCATAAAGAATAGTGAAATTATGGCATTTTCAGAAAAATGGATGGAACTGGAGATCATGGTGTTAAGTTAGCTAGGTTCAGGTCATCAGTTGCATGTTCTCTCTCATATGTGGAATCTAGAAGATAGATAAGTAGATAGATATAGATACAAAAACATGACTGTAATTGAGAAACATCTGGGGTGGGCAAGGAGAAAAGGGAAAGAGAATGATTGGGTGGGGGGAACAATGCCGAAATGTATGGTGTCTATGTATGAAAGTCACACAAGGCAAGTCACTGAAAGGTACTGAAAAATAGGATGGAGGAGGATGGAGAAAAGAGAAAGCAATAGAGGGGGTTAATCTGATCAATGTATAATATATGCATGTGTGAAACACCATGGTGTTACCTCTTTATACAATTAATATACACTAAAAAAATGCATATTAAGCCAGGCACCGGTGGCTCACGCCTATAATTCTAGCTACTTGGGGGACTGAGATCAGTTGGATCGAGGTTCGAGGTCAGCCTGGGCAAACAGTTCACAAGACCCCATCTCCAAAATAACCAGAGCAAAATGGACTGGAGTGGAGGTGTGGCTCAAGCAGTAGAGGCACCTGCTATACAAGTGCAAAGCCCTGAGTTCAAACCCTAATCCTAACAAAATATAAAAAATAATAAATGCATATTAAAAAGGAATTAATCTGTCACAGTATACACGTATATAAAAATCTATTGGAATTGTGACTGGATTTTCGCTGAGCCTAAAATTCAGCTTAGAAAGTGCTGATGCTTTACGATCTTGACTCTTCCATTCAATGAACATGTGAATCCATTTTAGTCTTTTAAAAAGTCTTTTACACCAGTACCACCAAAAAAAAAAAAGTATTTCAATCAGAATTTATATATTTTTCAAAAATAACTCCTCTTTTGTTAATTTGTAAGTAGAAAAGTCTTTCAAGGGTTGGTGGTGTGGCTCAAGTGGTACAGCACCCACCTAGCAAGCACAAGACCCTGAGTTCAAACCCCAGTACCACAAAAGAAAAAAGTCTTTCAACCAGGTTTTTTTTTTCCAAAAAATCTTGCCCTTTTCAGTTAATTTCAAAGTACTTCATAAATGGTTTCTTAATTAAATTTTTCTTTGCTGTTGGCATATAAAAGTAATAAGCTAGGAATATTGATCAGTGGTAGAGCACTTGCCTAGCATGTACAAGGCTCTGTGTTCAATCCCAAGTACCACAGGCAAAAAAAAAAGAGTAATTTTTTTGCAGTGCTGGAAATGGAAACCCAGAGCTTAACGTGTGTGAAGTGGGTATACCACTGAGCTATACTCCCAGCCCAAGCAATAGATTTTTAAATATAGACCTTATATCCAGAAATCTTTCTGAATTCTTAATAATTCAAATAATTTGTCCACGGATTGTTTTGGATTTTCTACACACAATGATATCACTTACACATAATGACATTTCTGTTCATTTCCAATGCTTAAATGTTTTTTTTTTCTCCCTGACTTATTGTGCTGCCTAGGAGCTCCAGCACAATGTTGAGTTGAAATGGTGCTACAGGTAACCTTGTCATGTTCCCAATATCAAAGCTCTAAACATTTCACTCTAAAGGATATAGCTCACTGGAAATCTTTGTAGAAATCCCATATGCTAAGAAAGTTCATTTGACTGTTTTGCTAAGATGTTTTAAGATTTTTACTTTTTGGCAGTACTGGGGTTTGAACTCAAGGCCTCACACTTGCTAGGCAGGCGCTCTACCACTTGAGCCACCCTGCCAGCAGCCCAAAGCAGTCACTGGAGAATATGTATTTTTATTTTTATTCTTTTGGTGGTACTGGAGTTTGAACTTAGGACCTCATACTTGCTAGGCAGGCACTCTACCACCTGAGCCATTCCGCCAGCCCAAGATGTTTTAAATCATAAATAGATATTGAATTTTATCTAACCCAATCTCCCAATCTATTAAGATGACCATTTGGGCTGGGGTATGGCTCAAGTGGTAGAGCGCCTGCCTGCCCAGCAAGCACAAGGCCCTGAGTTCAAACCCCAGCACCAAACACACCAAAAAAAAAAAAAAAAAAAAGACTGTAGCTTTTCTTCTCTAATCTGCTAATGAGAACAATTATGCTGAATTCAAACATTGAAACATGTTACATTTGGGAATAAATCCAATGTGGTCATCTTAAACTTTTAAAAACTATATTGGACTTAGGTAGCTATCATTTGGTTTAGAATATTCACATATATGTTCTTGAGATGGTTTTCTTAATATTATTTTGATTCATCAGGTTTTAATATCAAGGTTATGTCAGCCCCCAGAAAAATGAATTGGGCATGCTCCCTCTTTTTCCAAATTCTCAAATTGCTTTTGGAAAATGTAAAATATTTTTCCTTGGGTGTTTCAACGCAAAGTTGTCTGGCCTAGAATTTCCATGTGGGAAGACTTTGGGCTAACAATTCTGTTTCTTTAATGGCTATAATACTCAAGTTTTGCATTCCTTTTCTGAAACACTTTTGGAAAGCCATATGTCTATAGTAATTTGTCCACTTCATCTAATTTTTTAACCAAATTGGCAGAAAGTTGCCTTTTTTAGATAATCATCAAATTATCACATCAAAGCCAGGCACAGTGGCACACACCTGTAATCCCAGGACTTGGGAGGCTGAGGCAGGAAAATTGAGAGTTTGAGGCCAGCCTGGGCTACATAGTGAGACTCTGTCTCAAAAACCATTATCAAATCAATGGAAGGCCATAGACATTGATATTTGATAAGTTAGAATATCTTCCTTAGAAAACAGACGAGATATGGGTGTGTTTCTCACAAGCTGTTTTCTGCTTACAGACTCTGAAGTGCTATTATTCCTTCTGACTGGACAGTCCTCCTCTCCCCTTCACTACCTGGTAGATTTCTTCCTGCTTTTGAAACCTTAGTCTAGGCACCATATCCTCCAAGATTTCCAGAGTCCCTGTACTGGGCTGAGCATGTGTCCTAGGCTTTCACAACCCACAGGACCTATCACTGTTGCACCAATTATGCTGCACTGAGATCCCTTGTATCTGTCACCCCACTGGACTGTGAGCTTCTCCCTCTATGTCCACAGATCACAGAAGTAGTCAGTTATCACTTGTGGAGCTGAACTAAGCTTCTACCAACTAAATGAGCAGGTAAGCTCTCGCCATATTTCTCTGTATTCCCTGTGTGCAGGTTTGTTCCTTATGTATTTCATTTGATGGGGATTTATTGAGTATCTACTGTGTGATGGGTACTGTTCTAGAAGAGTAGCCAATGAGGAAGGAGGGAATATAGGAGAGTGTGGCATCCTGGAAACCAAGTGAAGAAAGGGCTGCAAAGTAGAGGTAATCAAGTGTGTCAAATGCTGCAAAGAGGCCATGAAACATGAGGTCTGAGACTTGACCGTTGCTGTAACAATGTGAAAATCATCAGGAACTTCAGCACTTTTGCTGAAGTGGTTGGGGAAAAAACAGATTGGAGCTATTTCAGAAAGGCACTGAAGGAGTAGAGAAGAACTGAAGAAAGTTGCTATATACACTTCCTCTAAGAAGTCTTGCTGTACTTCAGGCATGTAGTGGCACATGCCTGTAATCCCAGTACTCGGGGAAGATCACAATTTCAAGGCCAGCCTGGACTACATAGTGAGACCCTGTCTCAATAATAATAATAAAAAAATAATAATAGTAATAATAACTTTTGCTGTAAAGGGAAGTAAATAAATATATGGTGTTTTATTTTGCTATGCAAAGAAATTTTTATTTGCATGCAATAAATATATCTATCCTTTCTTTCAAAGCATCTGGGTTTCTTGTTTTGAGTAGAAATGCAATGTCTGTGGACAGCAACTCCGATACAAATTTTTCACAGTACATTAATTCTTCTTTCTGAGGCCTTCCCTAGCTTGGGGTTTGAGGGAGCTCCCTGCTGGTGTCAAAGGTAACCTCAAAACCTTGTGGCTGATTCATAAGTAGTATCCCCATAAACACACTGACCATAGCCTCCATCACACCCACGTGACTGACACCAAACATTCATGTGGTTCCCATCCCCATTCCCATATACACAGAGGCAGGCCCCAGGCAGAATGTGAGAAGACCACAGGACCACATATATTAGGACCATGAGGTGAGGAGACACAGATCCTCAAGGACACATTTAAGAGGCAACAGCAGGCAGGGCTACATCCACCTCCCACTCCCCACCATGGTCCTCCCCTGGAATGCGACCCGCTTGCACACTCAGGCCCATATAGGAGACTACTGCACAGCAAGACACATCATTTCTCATAGAGCTCTATTGTGGCATATAATAATAGGTACTCTATATAAATTAAATTAAAAATAAAGCTCCAGCAGGTTGCACAGGTTGGCTGTTAATAAATATATCTCTGGGTAATTGTGCCCCAAGACCAGCTCACGACCACTCTCCCTCATCCAGAGAATTATATAAAAATAAATACAGGCTTGGGGTGGGGGTGGGAAGGACATGCCTGGTTCCATTCTGAAAGTTCTTCTCACTCATGCCATCTACCACCCTGCTCCTCTCCGCAGGTACCACTGCAGGGAGCCCCGTGCTGACTGGAGAACTCAGGGACAGGAAGGCCTGTCTCTAGCCAAGCACTCTCAGAAGCAAAGGACCAAGGTCCCTCACTACACAAGCTACATATCCCATCTCAACCCTCTGGGATAGTGAAGGGACCACCTCTCACCAAACCCCAGAGAGGGAGAAACCTGTTATTGCTGGTCCCACAAGCAGCCCCTATGAGAACCAGGCCAGAGAGAGGCACAGCGCAAGCACCAGGAGGGACACACCACTGTTCAGAGCCACAGGGACCACCACCAGCCCAGCCAGGACTCCCAGAGTCTGGGTCAAGGGCCCCCGGAGCTGAGGAGGCACTCCACATACACATTCTGCAGGGGATCCTATGGTGGGAGACCTCTTTGGGGGCTCAAGACTTGGGCCTGCACCCTCTTCATCCTGGGAGACCACATGAGGCCTGACCATGCTAGACAGACAGACTTCAGTTCCCATGGGACCAAGGAGGGTGGGATTCTGCTCTCGCAGAAGGACTGGAGCAGCTGGCTCCTTGCTAGACATAGGAACCAATCTGCCTGCCCACTCAGTGGTGACCTCCATCCGGGCTTCTGTCCCGGCCTCCCCTGAGGACCTGGTCACCCCAGCTACGATCCTATTCATGTGCAAAGAGTTGATGTCCTTGCCTATCCCTTTCTCAGGATCCCCAGTGAACTGACCCTCTGTACCCAGAACCACAGGGCTATCACACCTGGAGCCCTCTGCCCATGGGAGCCAGACATCTCCCATAATGGCTACCACAGAGGGGGCCCCAGAGAGGATTTCTGGAGGCGATTCCTTGGGGCTCTCTCCCTCCGGGGTAGAGGGAGTGATGGAGAGCCCCTCTTCGTTTTCTCCCTCGTCATCAGGGTCCTCAGTGTCCTTGATGAGCTCCACACCACGTCCCAGGCGGGCGTAGTGCAGCGTGATCTCCTCAGCCAGGGCACTGTTCAGGGCCCGCTCAGGGCCAGGCCACTTCAAGATCAGGTCACGGTCCGTAAGTATGCCCAGAGGATGGCTGGGGGATAGCCCCCCATCTGTAGGGCCCTCCCCACCACCCCCTGCCCCACCTGCAGCCACAGCAGCACGCAGGCGGCTCAAATGGGACAGGTAGAGCTGCTCAAGCTCCTGGTCAATGGTGTCTTCACCAAGCAGCTCCTCCAACCCACTCATGACTTCCAGACCCCCAGCAGGCACATCCATAACAGCCCCCATGGGGTCCTTTCGACCCCCTCCATTCTCACTTGACACTTCCCACTTGGACTCCACCTGTTGCTGGATGGGTTCTAGGAAGGGCCCCGTGGCCCCCTCACTTGCATCAGGCCCCGAGGCCTGGTCCCTGGGGGAGCCACTCAAGCCACAAAGAGGGGTGGAGGAGGGAATCCTGATGGCCGGTGCCTGGGGAATCTCTGTAAAAGCCACAGGCAGACTGCTTCTGGGGATGTCACCTTCTTCTGGGGAGATGCCAGTTACTGTAACTTCAGAAACCTGGAGCCATAATGGAGGTGGGGAAAGAAAAGGAAGAGAACAAAGTAGAGGAGGCAATAAGACAAAAAGAAGAGACAGTAGGAACTGATTAACAGCCCACACCCAGCCCCATAGAGGTTTCTAAAAATGCCTTAAATAGCCCTCTGTAATTCTCTAAACTCCAAAGACTCTGACATCGATATTAAAATAACAAAATTAGGGCTGAGGTTGTGGCTCAAGTGGTAGAGAGCCTGCCTAGCAAGCATGAGACCCTGAGTTCAAACTTCAGTACCACCAAAAAAATAATAAAATAACAAAATCGGATGAAGTAAAAGAAGACTTCATTCTACAGGTGATGAAGCTGAGGGATTCAGTGGGCAGCAATATGATTGTCAGTAAGTACAGTTTGTTTACCATGAAAATATAGCCAAAATAGCCATTTGAATTCATGATGTATTTTCTCTTTAAAAAATAATGTATATCCTAGCTCTGTCTTTCAAAAAGATCTAGAAACAATGACCAATCAAGTAGCAACAAGCATACTGAGCCCCCAGATCTGGGTCACTAGATATCATTCTCCACTGAAAGGAACCAGGTCTCCTTAAAGAAACGGCTCTTTCCAGATTTAGAGCAGGTATTGTTTAAGGACTCACAGAATGAGGAAAGAGCACCAAAAAGTAAAAGCAGACAGTCAAAATAAGCTCCTACTGGCCAAGGATAGTTCAATGCAAGCATCAAACTAAAGAAATAAATGCAATGAATTGAAAGTCACCAAATATGTTTAGACTCCATGAATTAATGACACATTTAATAAACGTAATAGAATTAGTGGATTAATAAATTCATTAATTTTAATGCAAAGACTAAATTAATTAAAATTAATGAACTCAAAAATATAGTAAGAAATGTGTTTCCACCTGAATGCTAGCAACCAAACTCAGACTGGAAAACTCTTCAGGACAAATGCAATATCTTAAACAAGTTGCAAGGGAAGAAAGTGAGATTTAAAAGTCTGAAACCTGCTGAAATCACCATAAGAAGGGGACTAAAGCAGAAAGGAGAAAAATAGAGAGGATGAAGCAATTTGGGTTGTAATACATATATACATGGAAAGGTCATAATGAAATTCCCTATATAGCTATCTTAAACAAAAATATCAATTTTTTTCAAAAGCAGAGAACAGGAAGGCAAAACAGGTCCTATCTGGAGGGATGGCACCAGTGGAAGGGGGGAGGATATATGTAAAGGGTGTAGGAGGGTGAATATGGCAGAAATATTATCTACACATGTAAGTAAATGGAAAAATGAAATCTGTTGAAACTTCCAGGAATGGGGGGAGGGGGGACAAAGGAGAACAATGTAAGAGGGGTGAATTCAAGTATGATATATTGTAAAAATTTTTGCAAATGACACAATGTACCTCCAGTACAAAAATAATAAAGAAATAAACAAACAAACAAATAAATAAGCCTGAAGAGATACATCAACCAAATACAATGTGTCAACCTTGTTGGATCCTAGAACACTTGTGAGATAAGAAAATTTTAACACTAACCAAATAGTTAATGATACAAAGAAATATTGTTAATTTTCTGAAGATGATGATACAGTAGTTTGTTTTGTCTTCTTTCATTTGTTTGGTTTTGGTTTTGACTATAATTCTTTCTTTTTTACTTTATAATTCTTACTTTTTCTGAGACACAAACTGTAGTATTCATGAATGGGATGATATCTGGGTTTTTTCCAAAATAATTCCATAAGAAATATGAGGGAAGAGCCAGATATGGTAGCTCACGTCTGTAATCCTAGCTACTCAGGAAGTGAAGATCAGGAGGATCAAGGTTCAAGGCCAGCTCAGGCAAACAGTTAGTGAGACTGCATCTCAACCAATAAAAAATCTGGGCAGGGTGGCATGCACCTGTCATCCCAGATACATGGGAAGCATAAATATGAGGATCGGGGTCCAGGCCAGCCAGGGGATAAAAGAAAGACACTGGGCTGGCAGAGTTGTAGAGTACCTGCCTAGTAAATGCAAGGCCCTGAGTTCAAACCCTAGTACTCCCTACCCCGAAAAAAATGGGAGGGAAGGAGGTGGGGGTATGAAGTAGGAATGGACGCATGCTGATACCTGTAAAAACTGGGTAATGGTGTAAGCAAATCCACTATACTGGTCTCTTTCTTTTATAGATATTTGAAATTTTTTGTAATAAAAAGTTAAAACAGAGCCAGGGATATGTCTCAAGTGGTAGAGCACCTACTTAAGTAAGCTTGACGCCCTGAATTCAAACCCTAGTACCACAAAAAAAGTTAGAAACACACACACACACACACACACACACACACACACACACACACACACACACACCACATACCTTCGAAGTGTTTCTTCCTCCCCATCTACCACTATCAAGGCTGGCCTGACCTGGACCACTGCAATGGTCTCCTCCTCCCAGGCACCTCTGTCTCCACCCTCTGCCAACAGCCTATTATCTGCACAGCAGCCAGAGTGAGCCTGTTGAGCCCTATGGTGGATCACTTCCCTCCTCTGCTCATGACCCTCCTAAGGCTCCCCCTAACTAATAGTTGAAGCCAACGTCCTCACGTTGGTCTACAAGGCCCTGCCCAATCTGTCCCAACACCTCTCTGACCTTAACTCCTGCCACTCTAGCCCTCACTGACTTTACTCCTGTCACACCACCCTCCTTGCTATCCCCAAAACACATTAGTCATCCCTTGCCTAGGATGCTCGTCTCCCAGTTATCCACGTGGCTCACTTCTGTACCTTCAGAGCTTCTCTGAATCTCACTTATCACTAATAAGTGATATCTCACCAGAACCCCAATCTAATGTCCCCATCTCTGTCTGTCCTCTCCCCCTTCATTCCCTCCCCCTCCCTCTCCTTAGTACTCATCTCCATCTAAAATGCCATATATTTCAACTGTTATTTTATTTGATCATGTCTCAACACCCCAACATGTAAACCCTGTGCAGATAGTTTTTGTTCCCTGCTGTGTTTCCAGTGTCTGTAACCCACAGCAAGCAGTCCCTAAATACGTGTTAAATTAACAACTGAAATCTCTCTAAATCCAAGTGAATCACTGCATTCTACCCCTCCCCTATCCTACTTAGGATGGAACCAGAGCTAGTCCACTCTGCCACCCAGTCCAGTGATTGTCACACTGTGAGCCTCCTGTTGGGCTGTCTACCCTGAAGCTGCAAGGGCCTGCTTACCTGAAGAGTCATCTGGGGCCATGGACGGAGAGGGGTGGGGGCTACTAGGGGACCCAGTGATTCCTGAACAGCAGGATGCTCTGCTGGAGAGAAGAAAAGGGCAGGATTGGGGTAAGACAGTTGTATAAGCAGGCCTGAATTTGTTAAGAAAATCTGCTAGTCTGACCAGTTGGCAGTTGGCAGTTGGCATCTGAAGCTTTCTGTGGCAGTCTAAGAGAGGGGACCTCTTCTTTTCATAGAAAGAAAAGGGGGAGGAGGAAAGAAATGGTTTAAAATGGGGGATTAGAAGGGCTGGGGGTGTAGTTTAGTGATAGAGCACTTGCTTAGCATGTGCAGGTCCCTGGGTTTGATCCCCACTGCAAAAAAAAAGAGGGGATATAAAAAGGAGCTAGAACTCTCATAGCTTTGCAGGTGCTTACCTACAGCGGGGGTATCATCCATGCTCCTCATCCTCAGCTCCTCTTCCCGAGGCCTGTGGGGCAGAGGAGAGAGCACATACATGGGTCCGACACCCTAAGAGGTCAGTTCTGCCTGACTCCACCTCACAGCTGCTATTTCCTCTTCTCATCCCTTCTTATCTTCTTACCTCTTTTTATCCCTTGATCATAAAAGTCACACACACTCATAGAAACTTTACAAAATACAGGAAAGTATAAAGATGCAGGAAACAAAACAATCACGTATCAGCCAGAGGCAACCACTGTTACCATTTGGAAATTTTCATTCCAGACATTCTCTGAAACTGTTTGTAGATTCTGTAGACCTACTTTCACAGCTGTTTTTGTCCATTTAACAATAAAAACATCATAAGCTTTTGCAAACATTGAAAATGGCTGCTTAATGCCCATATCATATGGGCTCGCCATAATTTATGTAGCCATTCCCTTCTTACTGAGCAGCCAGGTTGTTTCCTTTATTTTCAATAACAAAGCAAGCTTCAGCAAACAGTATTGGGAATAGTTTTATCAACATGTTTGAATCATTTATTTCTTTAGGGTCTGTTACTGACTGTGGAGAAAACCATCTTTTGCAAGAAAGGGCAGGTGGAGAACACTGTCAGATGCAGGAAGCAGCAGAGGAGAGAAAGAAAAGCAAGTGGAGAATAGGAGACAGAGGGGCCTGGGTCCCTACGCCAGCTCTCCCTCATTCTTATATCAGCCTGCCAGGTCATACCACCTCCTCACCTGCAACAGAAAGCACAGGTGAACCAGGATGGACACATCAAGCACAAAGGAATCAAGGAAAATAAGGTAGAAAGCCAGATATCACAGCCAGGCATCACGGAGCAGGGGCAAAATCAATGGAAGATATCCATTGGTCTTATTGCTTCTTTACCACCCAAGTCAGATCCCTGACTGGCATAAACCAAGTGTATTTCAGCCAGATTTTGCCAGGGGTGGAGTCTCACATGGAGAAATCACTGTTTTAATTCTCACACATGAGTATCTAATGTCTACAGATAAGGCAATTGAGGGAAACACTGACTGCATGTTCCTAGACCTGAGGGAGGCTAAGACAACCACTTGAGGCCACAAGACACTGCTGAAATTTGTAGAAATAGTTGAAACTTTGAGAAAATACTTAATCAATTCCCTTCAGAGAAATAGAATGTCACTAGTTGACCTGTACATAGTACTATAGCATTACTCAATGATCTAAATGCATCACATATATTAATTTAATCCTCATAGCGCCCTGTGAGATAAGTACTTCTAATCCTTCACAGTAGGCAGTACTATTACCCCCATCTTACAGATGATGAAAGAGGCTGAAGAAATGGCTCAAGGTCATACAGGCACAGGATTAAAACCCATGCCTTCTGGTTTTTAACCAACACGCTAATGTTTCTTGGATGAGGAAGATTATAGTCTTACCCAATCCCATCTCCAGACCTATCTAGAAGTAGATAGAGGGAAGAATCAATAACAGACAAAATCTCTCCCTTCTCCATGCACGCTTTGCTTTGGACCTGCCCACATATTCATTCCCAGGTTCCCTGGCTCCATGGGCATGTTGCTAAGAGACCATCAGAGAGAATGACTACAAAAACTTTTCATTATCACCCTGGAAGAAGCAGCTCAAACCAGGTATGTGGATCTAGAGGCTGAAAGCTTTGGAAGGGACAGTTTGTCTTTTTCTGTGGTCTTGGGCTCACGCATCCCACCAGAGGTATTTGAATCAAAATACTATGGGGCCTGTGGTAGATGACTCTGCAAGCCCAGCCAGCAACATCATTGATAAGAAAGAGGAACTCAGAGCTAACCGCCTGGCTCCAGCACCACCAGTCCCTCAGTAGATCTAAAATCAGGCCTTTGGACCTATGACTCAACACAATTTCTGCCAGGCAGTACTGACTTCTTTTCATTAAACACATCATCTTCTTGGGATCTTCTAAAGCAAACTTCTTCAACAATAGCCATGAACAGACAGACAGCCCGCTCTCCCAGAGACAGAACTAGGCAAATCTCCTATCACCTGGTACAATCCTGACATGAATGTCAACCAAGCTTCTAACAACCACCAAAAGTCATAGATGTGAGCATGGAAAGGGGAGGATTCAGGAAGCAGCCAGCAGCAGGAAAAGGACTTCCAACTCCATTGCAGAAAGAAGAGAAGAAAAGCAAATACAACTGAAGTATTTCAGCCACCAGAGCATCTCTTCCACAACCAAGAAAGGTGAGGACATCCAAAAATCAGGTCAAGCAATCAAGTCCATCCCAAGATCCATGAAATCAGCAGAAGCAAACAAGTTGCTCTCCCAACTTCTCAAAGTCAGAAGTGAAAGCAGGAGGTAGACATTCATTGTTCACCTCCTCCAATGTGGGCCTTGCATTAGAATGCCAAGTCATTTGAAAACCTTCACGTTTATCCTTCAAAACAGCACCCTTCCCTTTTTACAAATGCACAAACTAAGGCTTAAGGAACTATGTGTTTATAACCACTGACTATACCCCACACTGGGAATGCACAGAGGGTTCTACTTGGAAGACTGTATCTGAAATTGTGGGTTTATGAAATATTATATGTAATACTTGATATATTTCATATGTACATATATATGCACATATTCTCAAACTGTCTTTTACTGTAAAAATCTGGAGGCAGCTATGACTACAGTGAAAATGAGGACAGTAAGAGAAATCAAGTACAAATGTGCACTGACTCACGATCAGTAACAGAAGAAGGGGTTCTTAGAAAAACGGGGAGATTAAGAACAAAACTATACCTACAGTAGGCTTGTGAATTTTCAAGAAGGAAACCTGCTCTTTGGGCACCAGTCCCACAAATGCCACGCAGCATCCTCTAAGAGCACTGGGCAAGAATGGGCTGTGGCACACATTGCTGGTGTCTTGCTTCAGAGCATTTAGGTGGCTGTGAGTACTAGTGAAGCCCATGTTGCCTAGAAGGGGACACTCTACTTGGGTGTGAAAATCCTCCTGCCATCAGGAAACAAGAGCTGCTGACCTCAGACAGTTCCCAAGGAGACCAGGAGTAAGACTTTGGAAAGTGGTGGCACTGGCCCCAGCCCAGGCCAGCCAAGACAGATGACAAAGAAAGATGAATCACCAGAGTTGAAGAGGGAACAAGCAAGTGAGAGCTGACAAGCCCCACGGAGAAAAGCAAACTAGACTCAGGAGCAGTCACATCACTGTTACCACTGCAGCCACCTGAGTACTGTGCAAGAGCCCCCAACACTCACGGTTTCAAAGAACTTTGCTAACCCAAAGTGGGTCAGGCATTGAAACTCAAAGGGAAACACAGCAGCGCTGGCTCCCATGGAGGCAACCTGATGATGATGCTGACTCTGGGGGCAGATGGCTTCGAAAGTGCCCCAAGATACTTAGAATCCCAGTTCCCCTGGGCCATGTGCTTTCTGGAAAGAATGGGGTTTGAGGGTGGCTGTGAAAGCCACCAGTTATGTGGGGCACTGTCTTGCCTTCCCCAGTGAGTGTGTCAGCCTCAACTAAAGGACTTGTGGATGATCCAGCAGGGTGAGGGAAGACAGCAGTTTATCATGCCCCGAGCTGCTTCTATCACAGAACAATTCTTTGGCCATGGCCCACAGTAAGAAAACCATTTTACCTCATAACCTAACCACCCACACATGTGTAAATATATATATTTATAATATATATAAAGAACAGAGAAACAATTGTTTCTTTGACTGAAACAATTCTTACCTTTATTGCATGTTGTGATGCACTCTGGTGTGTCCTATGCCATTTTTAAAATGTTTGTTGGCACCCCATCTCAGTAAATGGTCAGGAAATGCAATTTCAAATAATAAGTAGCTCTGCCTCCTACCAGCTGTGTGACCTGGGGCAAATTACTTAACTTCTCTGTGCCTCTGTTTCATCTATAAAGAGGGGATAATAATAATACCTGCCTCAGTGAATTGTTGAGTGAACTGGGGACATATAAAGTGCTTAACAGTAATTCCTTCCAAATCCCCACTGAAGGAAAATGAGGCTATGAAAAGGAAAACAACCTGTCCAGCAGTGCCTTGCTGGTAAGACAGATCACCCAGCCTTATACAGAGGTTAAGAACTGAGGCACTAGAGCAAGACCACACAGGCTCAGATCTCAGCTCTGCCACCTTCTTAGTGTGTGGCCTCAGGCCACATTCTTAACCATGATGACCCCAGAGTTTTCTGAGCAAAGGGGGATCAATTTCACATTAAATCTTTTCTCCCAACACCTGAGACCCCCACCCATTCTATTTCAACTCCAGTTCTTCCAGTTGTTCCAGTATGTTGGATCCCATCCACTCAGTTACAGGCACACCTAAAACCCACCAAGGCCTTACTGTGCACCAAGCTGGGTGACAACCCCTGGAGATGCACAGGTGAGCAAACCCAACTAGAAAGCTTACAATTTGGTGTGAGGGAAGGCATTAAAAAAATACTCAAAACTCATTCTTTCAACAAACATTTATTGAGCACCTGCTAAGTGCCAGGCACCATGGCAGGCCTACAAGAATACAGTGGTGACCAAAAGCAGACCATGTCCCTACCCCTCACGGAGCTTACAGTCTAGCAGGGCAGAGTCATCCAGTTATGCCCTAGTGAAGAGCTGACTACAAACTGAGATCAGTGCCTTTAGAAAAGGAAAGAACACTCTAGAACAAGGGGCCCTAGCCCAGACCACAGGGTCAGCAAGAACTTAAGGATGCATTAAAAAAAAACACACAAAGGAGGAGGTTGGAGAGTAGGAGGCTGTTCAGAAGCCTCGGAAGCAGGGGTGATGAATGCAGCCCTGAGGTGAATTTGGGGGATCTCTGGTACTCAGCCAAGTAGAGACACCAAGTTTGAACATGAGACAGAAACAAAGAGCAAGTCGAAAGAGAAGGGCCAGAGCTCAGAGGAAAGGCAGCAGATATGGCCCCTAAGCCAGGGAGGGAAGTGTCCTAAGTAGGTGAGACCAGCCACTTCAAGAAGAAAACCACAAAACCCTTGTGGAATGTGGCTGATA